AGGGCCCCTTTTTAAAACTCTGCGCAAGCAAATACAGCTGACGAACCCATGCTCAATTTTGCTGACATAATTTTAGGTCTCATTAAGACCTTAATGAAAACAGAATGTAGACCAACCCCCCCCCCCCCCAGGCTCCCTCCCTTTTTTTAATTCTCTGCGTAAGCAAACAAAGGTTCATTTTCCTGAGCGCACTGCAGTCATGGCATCAAACGGACCACAAGAGACTCTTGCAAGAGCGCATACAATGATTTAAGGTCTATTACATTTCATATGTTCCTCACTTTAATCTAGGGCTTTTAATCTTGGCACGGAGCAACATCATCCCCGGCAGATCAGGGACTGCGAGACTCCGGACAGACCCTACAAGCATCCACTTAATTTTCCCCAACGTGAGCTGGTGATGTACGTTGGCGAGACAATCCACATTCAACCTTTCTTTTTTTTAAAAAAGGGCCCACTGAAGGGGGGGGAGAGAATCACATCTGTGGAGAGTGAAGACTAATAATAAAAAGGAATAATGCTTCACCGTTGCAAGCACTTTAGAGTGTTCAAAGCATTTCAACTCGACGATCCTTTTAACAAAATGGGGGAAGCTGAGGCAGGGCAGGTCCACACACTTGCTGGATTCTTTTGAACACATCAGACGTGGCCTTATACAGATACCGCAGAACAAAAAGCGGGGGGGGGATGCTAGATGACAGGTGACTGATTTATTATTGTACAATGTCCCTATGCGTTTCGCTGTGCAGGCTTCGTCAGGGGGAATTGGAGCATTCACCCGTGCTGGAACTGTCCACAGCAAATAATAAGTTAGTCAGCTATCACCTGGCATTTGCTTTCCCTGTTTGTTCTTTGGGCAGCCCATTTTTCCTTTAGTCAGAGACAGCCCATCAGACTATCAAGGTCAGTACTGCCCACTCGGTCTGGATGTGGCTCTCCAGGGTCTCAGGCAGAGCTCTTTCACATCACCTGTTACCTGATCCTTTCCACAGGAGAATGTGGGGACTGAACCTGGGACCTTCTGCATGCCAAGAAGATGCTCTGCTGCTGAGTCACAGCCCCTCCTAGGCCACCAACAGAAGAGGACCAGAGGGCAAAAATTCCAGGGACCCTGGTTGGGGCTGCACAAGCGATTTTTTTTTCTTTAGACATGATGTTTGGTTTACAGAAAAAGAAGAAGAGGAGGAGGAGGAGGAGATTGGATTTATATGTATGGAGTCTCAGAGTGGCTTACAAACAGGCTTACAGAGTGGCTTTCCCTTCCCCTCCCCACAACCCCGTGAGGTAGGTGGGACTGAGAGAGCTCTTTCCAGAACTGCTCTTTCAAGGACAGCTCTGACAGAACCATGGCTTGCCCAAGGTCATCCAGCAGCTGCAAGTGGAGGAGTGGGGAATCAAACCCGGTTCTACCAGATTAGAGTCCATGCACTTAACCACTACACCAAACTGGCTCCCATCCGAGTGGGGTTCTAGAAGGAATCTTTGCCCATAGGGCCCTGGTGGCTCTGAACAGCTCTGTTTCCCCTCCACAACGATCTCCCATAACATAGGCCAAATCCCAGGAGCATGACCAACTCAGGCAAATCTTGCTTCTCTAGACAGCAGATTTGAAGTATGCGTGGTCATTTGCAAAGACAAAAAAGAGAAAAGGGAAAAAAACTGAACCTAAAATCTAGAATTCAGAACCTAAAAAGGTTAGTCTATATATTCCCAATATATATATTCCCAATAAAATGTTCCTTAAGTTAAAAGCAATGTTGATCAAAAAGGTTGATATAGGCCCAACACCTTTTTGATCAACACTGCTTTTAACCTAAGGAACATTTTATTGGGAACATTTGGCTGTACAATCTCAGGAGAATATATAATTGACCAGAGAGAAGTACTACTGGACATGTGATTGCACTAGAGGCTTCATTTGTATTTTTGTATTTCTTTTCTTTGCCCAGTGGTTAAACTTTGGAACAATTGTTTTCTGGTCTTTATTCCATATTTTGTATATGTATGATTGTATATATTTTTACATATCAGCCAACATGTTCTGTTTGTATTAGACCTCTGAGGAAGGCCTGTAAAGGCCGAAATGCGTTAGGTCTATTTCATTAGCCCTTGTATGTTTTTATCTTTGTATATGAGCTATGAATGGGCTCTTATTTGTTATTTTAATTTGTGTTGAATAAATTTTTGTATGTTTCATAATTAGATTTTTAGAGTTGGCCCTCTTCTGTTCTTGACTAACCTTTTTAGGTTTTGAATGCATGGTCATTTGCACCATGACTCACTTTACCTTACAAGTGTGTGGGGGGACGCACATCACCACAGGAAGACGTGGCCATAAACTGGGTCACAGACAGTTTCCCCGAGGACATTTGCTAAGTTCAAAGCAGAGGTGAGACTTGGACTAGTGACTTCCTGGCTCAATCCCTTAGAAATGATGCAACACGACACTAACTCACATACACTAATCATAATACGAAAGCTATGTGACTCCATCTCTAAGCAGCACCTTCCAGGAGCAACAGAGGACAAAGGTTCATTTGAATGCAAATGAATAAATTAACGGGTTTATTTACTGGTTTCATTTAGATCCCACCTTTCTCCCCGGTGGGGACCCAAAGCAGCTTATTCCTCTTCCTCTCCTCCATTTTACCCCCACAACAACCCTGTGAGGTAGGTTAGGCTGAGAGTGTCTAACTTGTCCAAGGTCCCCTCGCGAGCTCTCACAACAGAGTGGGGATTCTAACTTGGGTCTCCCAGATCCTAGTCCAACATTCTAACCCAGAGGTGTCGAACTCATTTGTTACGAGGGCCGGATCTGACCTAAATGTCACTTTGTCTGGCCAGGTCATGTGTGCCATAAAACATGATGCCAGCTACCGGAGATATAAACTGTATAAAGGACAGCAGCTGGTAAACTCTGAGTTCCTGCATCCTCAATGCAAGGCCCCGTGCCCGGGGGGCGGTGGTGGTGCAAAGGAAAACCCACGTGGGTGGACTGGAGAGCCAGTGGACAGGCAAGTTCCGTCCCCCGGGCCTTATGTTTGACACTCCTGCTCTAACTTCTGCATCACGCTACCTCTCTGCATGGAAGGAAGGTTTTCTTTTGGGGGTGGCATTCAGATTTACTGGGCTTGACATGTCACAGAGGAGGACTGATCCCAGCTCCCAACACTCACACTCGCTGTCTGGTTGCGGCTGAGCCAAAGGAGATCTCTTGTTGCTACTGGGGGATGCTGCTGTGGCCCTTGGAAAAGATCATGGCCGTAGACAAGGTCAACTGAGGAGAGGCATCCAGACTGGGTCAAGAGGGCAGGAGATGGAACGCAAGTCCATCAAGAAGAGGGGGGACTCGGGGGACAGCATGCTGGAGACCAGTCTTCCCTCTAAGCTGAGTTAGGGTATAAATCACAGTTTTTTAGCCTCCGGCTTGCACATTTTTGTCTCCGCTCAGGAAGGATGGCTCCAGAGCAAACTAATTTACGCAGTAGCCCAATTGCTCGCTCACAACTTTAAGGCCAGTATCTCACAAAGCAGAGTTTTTGCTCACAAGACTCCACAGCTTAGAGGGAGCGTTGTTGGGGACCTGGTCACTCTGGGTTAAGGTTGCCAGCCCCCAGGTGGTGGGTGGAGATCTCCGGGGATTACAACTGATTCCAGGCTGCAGAGCTCAATTCCCTTGGAGAAAATGGCTGCTTTGGAAGTGAGCCGTATGGCATTATACCCCCTGAGGTCCCTCCCCTTCCCAAACTCCACCTCCCCGGATCCACCCACAAAATCTCCAGGGATTTCCCACCCCAGAGCTGGGAACCGTAGTCTGGGTGCACAAAAACGTGTCTGGGGGACCACCATGACTCTCAGGAGCCTTTTGGGAATAACTCACTGCTGATCATCGATCAAGAGTTCATCCCACCCCTGGACGCCAACGACAAGCAGCAGCGAGAGCTGGGCACACCATCTAATGGGGCTGGCTGAAAGGGGGCGTGGTGGACCCAGACTGAAGCACTTCTTTGAAGTCTCCTGTATGCCTGTCGACTGGACAAAGTGGCACCGCCCACTCTTCTTCCTTGTTACGCTTTGTTCGACACTAACCAAGCCTAAATGCTTCCCTGGTCACAGTTTTTGCTAAACACCCACTCAGTGAATGACGTACAAGTAGGTTTGTTGGGTTCCCCCCCCCAGGCCACCAGTGGGGGGATGGGAGTAGGGTTGCCAGGTCCAGGTTGGGGAACTCCTGGGGATCTGGGGGTGGAGCGTGGGAAGGAAAATGACCTCAGTGGGATCCAACGCCATAGAGCCCACCCTTCAAAGGATCCCTTGTCTCCAGGGGAACTGATCTCTGTAGTCTGGAGGTGAGCTGTAATTCCGGGAGATCCCCAGGTCCCACCTGGAGGCTGGCAACCCGATGCCCACCTTCAAGTATCTGAAAAGCTCTTTGTACACAGCCTCAAGCCAGCCATGACCGGCAGGAAATGCCTCCGGTCCAAATGCCTGTGGTGCAGAGACATCAACAGAGAACAAGGAATATTGGCTTCATAATATAAAGGCAGAACTAAACGTGAGGGCAAACACAGGTCTGCTGCAGAAAAGCGGCAACTCTGCGTTGAGACCTCCCTCCTGGAACTCTGACCTAGACTAGTTAAGGAAGTGTAGGCCATGACCTCATGTCGGGCATCTTTCTCTTTAGCTTTATGTTACTGGCTGCTCTGGGGAAGCACCGAGGAAACGCACAATACAACGATGCCTCATCACGTAATTCCACGACTGCACACAATTGGGACAAGGCGGTGGAAGCATGAGATGGGAGGGTTGCCGTCTTCGTCAACAAATCCAGGCTCAGCGTCACATTTAGTTCCGCCCTAAATCACGCGTCACTTTTATGTAAGGAATAAGCTCATGCAGGTTTTTGTCTTTGGGTTTGTTTTTTTAAAAGCAATGAATGGTGATTTCCAGTGAGTACAGCAAATTAATTAGAAGGCATGCTGGGATTGAACGGAACTCACCACGGAGCTTTTATGGAAAAACATCCTGCTCCAAACAGGTAAGGTCTTCGTGGAAAAGGGGGGGAAATGCACAGAAATTAGATGAAGGATTCATCATCATCGTTGTCATCAACAAGCAACAGTGTAAAACCATGCTATTACCAAAAGAAATTACTAAAGTTGGACAGTTTTGAAAACAAGAATTGTTAACTTTCTAAACTGCGTTGCAAGGAAAAAGTAATCTGCCCTCCCCAAGAAAACAGAGGGCCAAACGACACATTAATAGGATCGCGGGGCTGCCCCTGAAAGCTGCATCCCACTGCTGCGTTCCTCCTCCCTCTACATAAGGTGTCGCCAGGGCTATTTTTGGGCAGGAACGCACAGGAACGGAGTTCCGGCTGGCTTCAGAGTTGGCCACGCCCAGTACAGCCAAAACCTCTGCGTGCATGGCTACAGAGAGAAGGCCTGGAGAGCGACTCCCCCCAGCGACTCCGAGGCGGGTGGGCCGGGGGGGGGGGGGGGGGGGGGGAGCCAAGAGGGATTAATGCCTCCCCATGCCTTCCCCGGCCAGTCCAAGGGCCGGCTTGCCCAGACTCCCTGCAAGGGCATGGGGCGCCCAGGCAAGCCAAGGGAAGGCATGGGGTGTGGCCTAATATGCTAATGAGCTGGACAGTCAGGGGTGTGGTCTAATATGCTAATGAGTTCCTGCTGGGCTTTTTCTACAAAAAAAGTCCTGGGTGTTGCTCAACTTGATCCTTCTCCAAACATAACTTGGAGCTTATTCTCACTGAAGGGGCACAGCGACATTTTGGTCATATGGACTGCTGGTGGAGGCTCACGTGATTGAATCTGAATCTCTGTGTCTAAAGTGTTGTCGAGTAACAGCCGACTTATGGGCAACCCCACCTAGCGACTTTCGAGGCCAGTGAGAAGCAGAGGTGGTTGGCCATTGCCTTCCTCTGCAGACTCTTCCTTGGCACATCCCTTCCAAGCACTGACCCTGCTGAGCTTCCAAGATCTGATGAGATCAGGCTATACCTCGTTGCCTTCCCTCCCCATTAAAAAAAAACGTTCATAGAAAATTAGATATCAGAGGAGAAGGACTCTAGCCCAGCTTCTCTATTATATGATAGTTTTCTATCTACAGAGATATTTTAATAGATCCTGTGCACCTGACCCTGTAATCTGAAATGGTGTAGTCCAGTCCGCAGTGGCACTGCCCAGGTTAGGGTTGCCAGGTTCCCCCTGGCCACCTGGGGGGGGGAATGGAGGTAGAGTCATCAGCTCTTGGTTGGGAAACTCGTGGACCGATTTCACAAAACAGGATCACGAAACCGCGGGGAAAATCAGGCGAAGCCACGAGTTAAAATGCGGCCGCGCAGCTTCAAGTGGGAAATTGACCAACAGAAGCGGGATAAAGGGAGGCGCGACCGTGGCGCAGCTCTTGTGTGAAATCGGTCCTGGAGATTGGGAGATGGAGCCTGGGGAGGACCGGGACCTCAGTGGGGTACGATGACATAGCATATACCCTCCAAAGCATCCATTTTCTCCAGAGGAACTGGTCTCTGTAATCTGGAGATGTGCAGTAATTCCAGGGGATCCCCAGGTCCCCTCAGGAGGCTGGCATCCCTAGCCCAGGCACAGTTACACTTCCTAGACCTAACACAGGTGTTTTGCTAGCCAGCCAGCAAAAGCCAGTGATACAGAGTAGGGAGAGAGAAAAACTCATAAAACAATGATGCCAAGAAAGAGGAGTAAGTTGTGCTACTCATTATGGAGGGCAGGGAGAGCGTTCGACCATGGCTGCCGTTTTCAGTGGCAGTATTGTGTTTTCCATAACATGGTGGCTATAACCAGAGATACAAAATCTATAGGGGGAAAAAAATCTGCCAGCATTGCTGCCATTGCTTGTAACTCAACCTTGCACAATAAGCTCATAGATCCTACAGCTGTGCCCAGTTAGTTCTTTCTGGCAACAAACAATTTGGCACTAAAAACGGAAATGTGGAAAGGTATACAGAGGTGCACAGGGGTTTGTGAGGTGATTCTTTATGTGGAATGTGCTTCTCCCAACACACACACACACACCAAGCTAATTCTGCTCACTCCTTCCTCCTCCTTTTGGATCAAATATTATCAGAGTGGAGAGCCACACAGTCTCTACGTGATGAGTCTCAGGAGTGCTCTGAAAGTGTGACAACCCAATCTTTCTCCTTCCCTCATGCTGCCAAAACTTGGATCACCTAAGGAAGCTGTCAGAGGTCGATTCAGAACTCAAAAAGGGGTTGGTGGGTGGAAACCGCTGGTTCACACACACACATAAGTAAACAGTAGAATCCACACAGGCTTTTACAGACTGTACAAGTTCAGCAGTGACAGTTAAATAAATCTCCATGTACAGATTCCACAGGGCAAACAACAGGGGAAGAAGTGCCTGGTTGACCTCTGTTGGAAAGAGGATGCCGGACTAGTGGGCCTTCCTATGACCCAGCGATGCAGTGCTTTAATCCTGAGGACGGTGCACACAGAATTCCGTTGGATTTTTAGCAGAAAGGAAAGCCTCACACATGCCAGGGCTCACTGTCCAAATTCCACACAACCAAATTTTTCCTATTGATTTCCAAGGGAAAGCAATGCGCATGAGAGCCACACGCACCCTCCCAAACTCTCATTGTAAGAACTGCGGCAGACTGTGAGATTGGTGCCTGGGCCCGGGCTGGCACGGCCAACTGCCCCGGTTTTCTAAGACAGAAACATTGAGGGACAGCCTGAAGATCCAAGGAAACGTGTCTAGAGTTTAATTTGTTCACAAAATACCACATACAACAGAATGACTGTTGTTTTGGTTTTGTTATGGTTTTTTCAAGAAGAAGGAAAGAAGGCCAGCAGGCTGCAGCTGAAACCTGGTTCAGGGAGATCTGGGTTCGAAGCCCTGTTCAGCTGTGGACCTCGGCAGAGTGGCCTTGAGCCAATTACTACCTCACAGGGGTGCCGTGTGGATAAAAAGGATGATTTTCAGGCAGCCCCTGAGGTCCTCCGGAGGGATGCTGCTGTGATGTAAGAAAATGAGAAATTACAAATGTGTGCTTTTGTGCAGAGTCCTTCGAAAGGATGTTTCAATTATTGCCATGGCAAGACTGCGCCATGCATCATTCTTACACCCCTTTTATAGAACGGAGCAAAAAGTGAGAATGCAGCATTTGGCCAAGGCCTGTCTGGCAAGGTGAGGAAGTGGCAAACAAGCAGTGTATCATCATCATCAAAACTGTGGGATTGGAGTACCTTTCTAGATCCTGAAACTGTGGGATTGGAGTACCTTTCTAGATCCTGAACCTAAGAGCCACTGAGGGATATCTGGCCAGGGTTCAGGCAGTGTGCCACTCCTCAGCTCCGGCCAAAGGAAGGGCCTACAGAGAAAGCAGCCACAGCAGGACAGAAGTTCCCCATCCAAGGACTCACCAGGGCTGACCCTTCTTAGCTTCTGAGATCTGATGCGATCAGGCTAGCCACACATCCTACCCAAACCTAACGTGAAAAGAAGCCATGTGACCTACCCAGCTCCACGGGTCTCCAAGGTGAGCAGGGCCCCTGGAAATGTTGCCCACCTAGCATCCTTTCCCCAATGCCCTGGCCTAGGGACCACTTTCAGTTTACCTCACCATCAAGGGAGCCTGATATATTCCCAACAAGATAAGGATTCCTAGATTTGGGGTGGGTGGGTGACAGAACTAAAAGGGAAGGCATAGTAGTTTTAAATGATGAATCGGGCAGGGAAAACAGACACATCCTTCTCTCTTGTGGATAATATTAAAATCCAGGGTCATCAAATCTGCTTGTGGTCTTGTAGCCCACCTCCCTCAACAGGTCACCCCTGCAGTGCGGGCAAAGCGAAATGGAAGTTCCATCCGCAATGAAGCAATGATGCAGAAGAGAAGGGTGATATCCAGACGGAGGGCAGGGGGGACTTCTTGAAAAGACAGGTGCTACCCTAGCTAAGGCTGCAGTTATTGCCAGATTCCAGTTTGGGGATAAAACAAAATTATGGCACCGAGACCGAGTTTTTTTGTTTTTGTTTTGCTGTTAATTGCTGTATGACTAGTGATCGCTGTACCACTAATCAGCACCAATTGTTTTAAAAGAAGGCCTGGAAATTAAAGAGATCTTTTGAAAAATGCCCTGTGTGTATCTCACCAGCTAGACGGAGGGAATTAATTTTAAGGCAGTAGCCAGAGTGGGGGCAGCAGGTGCACCATCCCACCTGGAGCCACTTGGCCCTCATTTCTAACAAGGTAGCTCTTACCCACCTGACCTGGAGAGCTGCTCCCTCTAAGCTGTGGAGTCTTGTGAGCAAAAATACTACTTTGTGAGCTACTGGCATTCAAGTTGTGAGCCAGCGATTTGGCCACAGCATAAATTAGTTTGCTCTGGAGCCATCTTTCCTGAGCAACAATGTGTGAGGCAGAGGCTAAAAAACTGTGAGCTAGCTTACACTAACTCAGCTTAAAGGGAACACCGGCCTAGGCTAGCCCAGTCTCGTGAGATCTTGGAAGCTGAGTGGGGGCGGCCCCAGTTAGTGCTTGGATGGGAGGCTACTAAAGAAGTCCGGGATTGCTATGCTGAAGCAGGCAATAACAAACTAGCTCCGTCAGTAGGGGTGCCATCCCCCCCAATGGGGGCGAGGGGTTCCCTGCCTTTGGGGCCCCCAATCTGCCACCACTCAGCTGGCCGGTGGGGGGAGCCCCACCCCCGAGCAGCCCCATCTGCACCAACATGCCCGGCGCGATGATGTCACCCGGAGGTGACATCATCGCGCAGGGCACGTTGCAGGGGGATGGATGCTCTAGCATTTGAGAAAAACCTCTATGGTTTGTGTTAAGCCTAGGAAATTATACCAGGACAAAGTCCAGCTTTAATTATTATGGCACACCAGGACAAGGGGGGTGGAAGGAGGGTTAACTTAAAGCCAGGACTGTGAACACATGCACAGTCATGATCCTTCCTCACTGGGACAAACCTGTTCCACTCTGGACACACCTGGAAATGCTGAAGTACCACCTTGTTATGGT